TCGGTCTTGTTTGACCACGACATGACTGATTTTCTCGGTCCTCAGAGCACGTTGAGAACGGAACACCGCAAATGTGCTACTCAAAGTACGGCATTCGCGGCCAACCAAAACGATTGCGCGCTTTCAGAAAAGCGCAATCACGACCCACAATCCAGTTCTCTGGTACTTAAGAAGGCACTGATTCAGCGCACGCTTCAGATTTAGGCACTGAGGTCTCGAGCCAAGCTCATGGTGCAATTCTCACATTGCTCTTACGCAAATAATTCCTCAATTTAGGTATTTGTGTGTTTAGAAAAAACGGGTAACGATTTAGTGTACTAGGTACTCTACTATGGGAGGGTTTAAAGCCGTCCCGTTTTGCGTATTTCTCAACAAAATGAAAGTGCATTATTGCAGCAGACATTCATTTATTTTTTTCTCGGTACTTTCAATACTTCAGTAGTCAACTGATTGGGGCAGCTTTTCCGGTTCCATGGATTTCGAGTGAACTAGCTTTAATTGAACTACATACAACTGTTGAAAAGACAAGTACGTTTAGTCAAAGGAGTTCGATAAAAAGTTTTTCTAAAAACGTCGAAACCGCCTCAACGTACCTGGAACTCAAAATCAATTTTGTCACAAAAATTTATTTAGGAGCTGTATTGTTCGAACATGCTATAAGTTGACTTCAGTTGAAGAAAAAATCAGCTGAATCACGCAATGAAGCTACAAGAGATTTACAGGGCTCTAACCATGCGTGATATGACATAGTTTGATGAATTATTAGAATCTGCGATGCGACTTCTAATCAGATTGAATTTTTCTGCATCAATGTGCCAGTTATCCAGGGTAACTTTCACAGCCATATTCCGATAACCAAACAGAGCTGATACGCTTTGTGTGAATACATTACTGTGCTGCAATGTGACAACGTTATAGCACATTGCTTCATTTTGTTACATGGACGACAAACCCATGCTGAAGTTTTCATGACATGAAAGCATACTGAAAATAATACTGACCAAGCGTTGTTTACATTTCTTTTGAATGCTGTGACTGAATTGTCTCCCCGCTTTTAAACAGAAAATGTAACAGAAACAGATTTTCATTGTAAGAGTTCAAATTTATTAAACAATCGTTAGTTAGCCGACATAATAAGGTGTAATATGTTAGAAATTGAGCGTACTCTGAAGAGCGAAAAAAGCCGGAAAACGGCAAATTGAAGACTGGGCGCATGCTAAAACTAAAAAGGAAAGAACGAATCAGAAATGCAAAAGGCGGTGACGTTAACCAGAAAAGAGTCCAGTTGACTACCCTATCTTGATGGGGGAAAAAGAAAAATTAAAGACGAAAAAGAGAGAAAAAAAGACATGATGCAAATAATCAATAAATGCGCGTTGTATGTATGCACTAAGGGACAAGGAAGGCAACGTTTTATTAGTGAAAGTATCTGAGCATTCTACGCAGACCGACATGGTAGGCGGGTCAAGCAGTACGAACAATTAAGGAGCAGTGGTCCGAAGATATCGGATCACCTAATTTTAAGACACGGGAAGTAAAGAAAGCATTCCAAAGAACGCCGAGGCAGAAAACCACTGGTAAAGTTCATGCCATGCCAAATCCGTTAGAGTAAAGTAAAATAGCTGTTATAAAAAAAAAACCTGTTATCCATATAAGCGCATTTACTATGGGTGTCTAATAATCTCAAAAGGGTGCATATACCTAGGTATTCAGGGGAGATCTACTACATGGATACTCAATAACTGCAGTAAAATGCAAAATTTTGCTGCCTACGCACGAGTACAGGCCTCCGTGTGCATCCCATTCACCAAGGCGATTCTGTTATCCAGCTATTACAACTTCAATTCCGAGATTAACTCGTGAAAAATGATTCGCCTGCAATTGCAATGAAATAATTACCTTAAAAACAAATTTACACCAAAATATTAGTATATTCACGAGTATAGCGACGAATCATGGCTGAATCAAAGCTCCACGTCGACTTTCTTTATACATGCATACCAAAAGAAAAAAACTTTAAAGCTCAACCGTTTCACAACATATACAACGGCCGTGCTTTATGCAATACTCTTTGGTTTACGCTGCGTATGCTTAGAGTCAGGTCCTCTTCGATGATTATTCTCAGTGACTGACAATTCTCATTAGTTTGTTTAAAATGAATCAGCTTAAGCAATAAAGCTAGCGTGCTCGCACGCTAGTTTTATTACGCTGTAGCAAAAGATTTTAACCATACCCTAATGTTCCTGTGGGTACAAATCCACAGTGAATTCACAGGAACCGACATAGCTGATTGCAAAGCACGTGCAGTGCATCAGGAGAATAATATATTACTAATACTTCTATACCGATGAGCGATGCGGGATGCCTAATAAATAAACTGAGCTGAGAATTGTCGGGGAAAAAAACTTGGCTCGGAAATTGTGGCCAAAACTCCAAGTTATGGGGCATTGATGCCGGTGTATAATTGATTATTCTATTAAAGATTAGCCGATCAATAGAAACCGTCGTCAATACTCTTCGACTTGGCACGGCCTACACGAAGTCATTCCTGTATATTATAAGAAACGCTGGCAGTGCTACCTGTTGATATAGAAAAGCTGAAGAAGGCGTTCATTACATTGTTCTACATCCTAAAAGTTATGATGGATTGCGAAAGAAAAGTTACAAATACCACACGGGAGGGCTATATGCTCCCCACATAGTACAGTACTTTGAACTCTACTATAAGAGAAATTATATTCGCGCTATTGTTCACAGAAACGTTTCGCTTCAACATTCTTGTGTTTACATTTTCGAGAAATCTTCGTGAAAGCCTTTGTGAAAACAGTGAAGTATTCAAGAGGCTGCTCGAGAGAGACATGACCAGCTTTGACAACATTTTAGTAAACTTTCATATTTTGCGTGGGAATTTCAATTGCGTGATTGCTCGTGTTTTTACAAATTCGCTGTTGAATGAGCAGATTTTGCTATTGGAAAACCTGGACTCGGTGCGTAAGTGTTGTGCAATGTGTGTTTGTGTGTAGCCTTCTTTTGTTATATAATATGCGATGACGACTGCCATGAAAGAGAAGAGGAGTAGCCGGCACCACGCATAGGCACCAATCATTCCTCACACACATTTATTTTTAAAAAATGGCGCCTAACAGCGAGCTGCGATCGCTAATGCTAGTCACTGAGCGTTTACAAAAGGTTTCTAGAGGCCTGCATTGGGAACGGTTGCATATCCGAGTTTGTAAAATATACTTTGCGATTTACCGATGACAATGTCTTTTTGAGTAACTCAGGGAAGGAATTGAATGCACATTCCAAGCAGGACGGGGGCTCTGAAAATTCATATGCAGAAAATTATTTTTTAGCAGCCTTGAAAAACGACGGTGCTTTAGGTTACACGAAGACACTACATCACACTGTACCCCGGGCTCCTAAAGTGTTTCGACCTTAATGCCATCATGTAAAGACACCCGAGGAAAATTAGAAAGGAGACTTCTTCCTGGTGTGACCACGTGTTAAATATGCTGCCGACCACTGTGCTTTACCTGCGCTACGCGCCAGGTGATGACAGCATACCAACAGGATACGACCTCTCGAGTTGGATATCATGACCTTCGCTAAATGCATGGTTGCACACATGCGTGAAAGCGGCACAATCACATAATATTCTTGTGGTGCAAAGTGATATGATTTTCTTGCTGACTCTTAGTTTCACGTTCGATTATCGCTCTTGTGCTGTATATACATGGAAATTTCTTCAATAAATTCAGTTGGAAGTTAGCGTAGGTACCATGCTGTCTGTCTGTTCGTGTGTTGTTCAGCCCCGAAAAGCTTTTATACTTCGAAACTCGTAAGTTTTCTGCACTAAAAAGACGGCAGAGACCCTTGTAAAGTATTAGGCGTAATCAAGCTAACTAAACGAGCATGACACGAAAAATATGCCGTTGTATACAGTAACAAACAATTAAAATTCTGAATGGTAATTAAGCATATTGCCTCACTCACTTCTTAAACCTCTCTCAATCATATTCAGAGACTATTCGTGTGCCCACCTACCATCGTATTCTGTAGTGGTTACAACGCTCCACTACCCACCCTGAAGGTCGCGGAATCGGATTCCGGCAACGACAGCGGCGTCTCAGTGGAGGCGAAATGCTGCAGGGGAGATTACAAGACTCAAACTGCACGTTAGCGAACACGTCACACGTCAAAGAAAGCCAGGTGTTCGAAATTTCTAGAACCCTCCCATATGGCATTTCATAAGATTGCTGTTTTGGCCCAACATTTTGTTACCATGCAGAACAGACGATTGCGTTTACTTTATTGACCACGGTGAAGATTGTAACACGAGGGGTGACTTTTCATTGCGTCTGCGTAGAAAAAAGCAGTTATTTCAGTATTATGCAATACTGGAGGGGTTGACCTTTGGTAGCGAAAGTCTGGAAGAAATTTCACCTTATATTCGAGTACATACAGTTTCCGCTCTTATCCTCTTTTTGTTTATTCAAAAGAAAACGATTCGTTGAAAGCGTTGCAGTTCCCGTAAGGGCGCAGTGCCCCAACACCTTCGGATATCCTAACAGAGCGACAAACAGGCGTTCTTTATCACGGATACAACAACAAGAAAAAGAACAGCAAGAGACCATTCCGAGAAAAAAAAAACAGCCACAGGTTGGAAAGCAGGGCTTGGCAGAAGTGACGAAACTTCCGGCAAAAGTCACTTCCCCCCCCCCCCCCCCAAGTGTAACGTTCGAGCTTCAGGTGAAAATGAAGCCTTCTCTATGTAGCATTTTTTGTTTTGTTTTGGCAGGCAAATAACTTCATCGCTTGGCTCACAGAACTGCTTTCGTGTCATTTCCTTTACAACGGCGGATCTAGGTACTTCAAGTCACGTCTTCTAGACGAAGACGCGTCACTTCCCTTGAGTACGCTATAAAAAAGAAATCCACCCTCGAACGAGACATCGGTATTGCCGAAGATTTTTGCAGAAGACGCAGATCTCCACCAGAATGAGGGTACGTGTTGGGTCATTTGATTGAATTAACGCTTCACTTGATGGTGATGCGGGCACGTTGTATAAATGTTGAGAACCTCGTGTAAATTAAACCACAATTTGAATTCTTTAGTTACAGCACACTGATATTTTTTCTTTCTAAATGTAAGATATTTATCTAAATGTGGTGTAACAAATTGTTATCATACCTATATTTCAATACAATTAGGCCTGAGTTTTGATAGTGCCAGATGATGCGTGCTGTATACGCGAGTTCAGGTTGAAGCTCTATTCTATAAAAATGCCCAGAACAAACTCATTCGATACTGAACACGGCATCTCGTGAGACAAGCAATAATGTGTTGTTAGAATCTCATGCACCATGCGCTGTGCCACTTCTCAAGTTTTTGGAAGTCCAGCTTAGGTATTTTTTATTGTGAAGCTTTAGTTAAATCTTACTCTGAGGACAGGACGCGCACACGTTGTGTCCTGTTCTATAATCTCTATATGTTTCACTGTTGTGGCTCCGTTGAATATTATCAACCACCTAGTCACAATGTAAGTCCTCTTAATCATTCCTTGTCAGATATTAACGGCAGTTGCATTGTTCCAAAACGCAGACCTTCGCCGCCGCTGTCTGCGCCCTCCTAGTCTGCAGCGTCTACGCTGACAAGGACGAGAAGGTTGAAGCTCGTGGTGGCCTCTTGGGTGCTGGTCTCGGAGGTTACGGCGCTGGTGTCGGAGGACCCGGTCTTGTCGGGGCTGGTCTCGGAGGCGTTGGCCTCGGCGGCGGATATGGCGGAGGCTTCCAGTCCGGCTACGGCAATGCTGCCGGGGGCTACCAGTCTGGATACCAGGGTGGAGCTGCCGGACACAGCCAGGGCTCAGGAGCATTCGCTGGCGGTGCCTCCAACAGGAACGTGAACGCTTACAACAATAACCGGGGCTACAGCCACAGCTCAGGCTTCTCGGCCTCTGACAGCAAGAACTTCGGCTCTGGATACAAGCAGGGATCATCTGGCTTCCAAGGAGGTGCTGCCGGACACCAGGGAGGCTTTGGACAGCAGTCATTCGGTCACCAAGCCGGAACTGGCTACGGTGGTGGATACCTTGGCTAAGTGTGAGTTGCCGAGAAAAACCTTGCAATGTATATAAACTTCTTACCCGGCCAAAAGCGTTAAAGATAACATTACATAACCACTTGTATGGTCACCTGTCTGGTGCATGACATCCAGATTGAAGGTACTTGTTTACCGGTGTGCTTCTGAATATCCGAGTGCATCATTAAAACACACATAAAAATATATGTCATAGTTATCTGTAATGGTCACGCATCAATTAAAGCAGAGTATGATGGACCTGCAATGAAGTACAGCAATGCAGACTTGTTGGTATGACATATTCGGATATCGATGGTATCTTGTATAAACAGGACAAGAGAAGGCAAAAAGAAACATATGGAGCGCTACACTTTCAAGAAATGTTTTTTATCGAGCACCATGTCTTTTCTATACATTTTTTTGCACACTGTTGTAACTAACATGTGGACGAGCACAAACGGTGGTTTATCAGCAATTTTGGTGCCAAGAGTTACTCATAGATTTCTTCCTGCATTGCAAGAAATGCGAATGTAGTCTACGCTTTCAAAATACCACCATCTTAGCGAGGAATTGCAGCGAAGTCATATGTCTGGTTGCAGAAGTTCACTGGTTAGATGGATATGACACTGTATTTATCTACCCTCCATATATTGAGCTTTCAATGACGGAGTTGCAACACATTTGACTGAGCTTAAGTACGAAGTGAATGAATTTTTTTTGTTCTCTGATATGCTTTCTGTGCGGGATTTCCTGCTCAAAACTTGCCAATAAGTTACTGCTTCTCCTCCTACACGTGTTAGTAGTAGGGGTACGTAACATGTTAGAGAGAATGACGTGTTGCCTAATATTACAATGTTAGTTGGCAGTATAGTGCTGTGTGTGTCTCGTTGTTGCCCTATTTTTGCGTGTCTTTTCATGTTACCATTTTCACCCAAAACAGTGGGAGTTTAAATAATTGCTGCATTTTTCTAGAGCTGCTGCAAAATTTTGTATACTGACAGTACTGTTCGATGGTGCTCTAGTATCCTAAAATGAGAATGGCGAGTTTCAAAGTGAGATGATGACTCAGGCACAAAGTATTTCCACGTAATCATTCATCCAAGCTGACTGCATTGTAGTGAGCATTCTCTTAAACGTACTGATCAATTTTGAATGACTGCAGTGACGTCAGCTGACTGTGATATATATTTCGTTTTGTTTCAATGTCATAGAGTTGATATGATGAGTAACACTATCTGGCACTGCAATATTTTCTACCAATGTTTAATGTTCTCAACTACGTGAACGTGGTTTGCACACCCTGCGGCTGTCCTCATCAAGAATAGATCAATCACATACAAGTCACGCCGAAACGTAAATTCCACTTCTTCACTAGGAAACGTCAGAATAGCACCAATATTAGAGGCTGTCAAGAGCAGGACAAGTTTATTTTTTGCATTGACGTGCAATAGCAGCCTTTGTGCATTCAGTAGGAACCTGAGTTGCATGCCATAATAATATTGTTCTCGTTTTTCTTGAAAAAACTCAGTCCGCAATTGAAGAAGGGAAGGATGGCACCATGCATTCCCGTCCAGAACAGACTTGTGCTAAAGAAAACATGTGCGTTTGAATTATTTTTGCTTGGTATAAAGCAAAACCTAATAACAAAATAAATTCCACAAATTGATGTTCTGAGTTTCAAAAATCATACTAGAAATAGTCAACGAAAGTTTGCACACGACTGTTTAATTTACGGCTGAAGCAGTGAGTGTTTATAGTCAACTAGTACATTTAATGTTACGACCCAACCGAAATAAACACGTCAAAATGATTCGACGCATATTTGTAATTGCAGCGCACTTAACCTTCATTTCTTTTTTTGTTTTTTTTCTTTGCAGAGTTTACGCTTGTTCACGCGCATGGACGTCGATGGCCCACTCTGCTATACAAGAACATGAGAGGTGTAAATAAACCCGTTTCTCTGCCCTTGAGTACAAATGTCAATTTTTCGCCACAATGGTGACTCGATTGAGAATATATATGTTGTACCTGTCGCTCCGCTTATAGAGATTAATGATAAAGTGGACACATCACGCCCACGTGATAGTGTCACGGTGGGCCAGCCATCCATATTGTTTTCAAATTAGCAACCAGGAATAACCGCACATACATCGCATGCAAACAGTGCTTCGCTTCAGAAGTCTCAGCTAATGCGATTTAGTTATTATTAGGAGAGATAAACATAAAGACAAAGCATGTAAACTGGAACTACGCTTCCATAATTCTTCATTACACTTTTCTGCAAAGCCATGCCAGGCGTTGACGGTAGCCATAGGTGCAAAAAACTATGTACAAGCTACTGAATAAAAGCACTTTGGGCTTGGGCCGACTCGGACTTAGACTCATCAAAATATCATTTAGCCAGACTTTAGACTACCACCTCGATCTGAATCTCAGTCAGTTGAATCATGAGTGCATTACTGTATAATGAGCTTTTTCGATGGTGTAGATACTCTTCAACGCCAATAATTCACATAAGGGCTCTCTACGATGGGCCTCTTGATATCGCACCTTTAAATATAGGTTATCATTTGTTACAGTCCAGTAAGGGCATTTTTACTGACAGAAACTACTCCCAGGGGGTATTTTGATAAAGCAATTCCGTTCCAAGAAATTGCGGAAAAGCCCAAGGCATCCCCGGCTTTCTTCAACTCACATATCCGTCCCGTTAGTATTGAACCCTCGTATTAAGCATGTTTGAGCAAACGTGGGTAGAGACACTAGCCAACATAAGGCCAATAGCAATGCAGCAGATGAGTACGTATGACCGTAGGTCGACAGAAAAAAGTGGAGCTCCCTCGGATTTCCTCAAAGAGTATTCTTGCGCTAACGGCTTATATAAATTAGAAGCTACGGCTGGAGACCTGGTTATTATTGTGAAGGTTCACGTTCCTGTTGGAGGCAACACCAGCAACTGCTCATAAGTCCAGATGTAACTGGATGTACCACCCTGGGATTCATTCTGGTAGCCACCGAACGCATCGCCGTAGCCCGACTGAAGGTCTATGCCGTATGTGCCATGGCTGATGCCTCATTGACCAGCAACAACTCCACAGCCTTCGCGAGGCCCACCCAAGAAGGCACCCAGGCCTTCGACCTTCTCGTTCTTGGCAGCGTAAACGGTGCACGCTAGGAGGGTGCAGACAGTGGCTGTGAATGTCTGTGTTATGGCATTATTATGTATAACAAAAAACTATCACATCATGTGTATTTAATGATAATAAAACCAGCTATCAGAAATTGGATAAAGGAACTGGGAAACATCAGTTACATGTATCAACAATTACAATTCTGTGAAATAACCATAAATAGTGAGGTGAAATGAACCATTTTTCAAGGAAAAACAGAAAAGCAGGAATAACTAAACATGCGTGTTAAAGATACCCCCCCCCCAAAAAAAAAAAAAAAAACAAGCAGAAAACATACTTTAGGAATGAACGAAAATTCGAAGCAATCAAAAGAAAATATTCAGGCTTAGGGAGAACTAGGCAGCTTTCCGCAACCTTACAGTGATAACGTTGAAAAATGTTAGGCCTGTGTCAATGCAGTTATGATATAACAAATGCAGAGATCTAAGGTCCCAAAAATCACCGTATTGCAAAGCCCGTTTCTCCCTCCATTTTTATGCCCTCGAGTTTCGCTTACAAATGGTATCAGCAATGCTCGGACCAGACTTCACTGCAATGTTCGTGAAGTCCCGCGGTTCTCTGAGACCATGGCGCTGTGAATACGTGCAGGACTCGAACATTGAAGTTTTACCGCGAGTTTTGGCTAGACCTAGCTGAGTGTGCCGATCAAGCTGTGTAGCTCAATGCTACTGCAGAGAATAATAATACTGAAAATCCGTGCAGAGGGGAAGTTTTTTTTTTTTTGGTTGAAGTTGTGAGCAGAGGTATTCTCATCAATACCCCTGCTCCATGGCACACACCCGTCTATGATGATGGCAAATACACATTTTCATGGTGCACTCTAATTTCTGAGCAAATACCTGCTTACGATGATGGCAATATCTGTTTTCATGGTACATTCTCGTTTATGATAGCACATACCCGCTTATGATGATGGCAAAAACCAGTTTAAGATAATCATACTTTTCTGATGAGCCACGCAATGACACATACCCACTGTTTCCGCTAACTGTGGCCTTTTATGGGCGAAGCTAGTAAGGGCACAGGCTAGTCCCGCTGTTAGTAGCCATCTCCTCTAGTTTTCGGAGTGTTCACTAGATGGCACTGGGAGTGCTCTACCACTATTATTGTGAACTAGATGGCGCTCGCTGCGTTGGAGAGGCGTGCTTGAGTGTGAGATGAGATGGTTAGATAGCCCATGTGTGCTCGAACCTGATTGGGTATAGGTGCAGCCTACCGAAATTTTCGTAAAGGCTACATTGGCCCCATTGAGCATCGACTTCTTACACAACTCTTGTCCTCATGCTCGGAGGGCGAACTGAAACAACTGATATGGATATCCGGCCACTGCCGAGTTAGAGGCAATGAGCTTGCTCATGTCTCGGCCCGAGGATTACTCTTCCGGACCCCGGCATATCGCACCCACCCTCGGTTATGCGTATGGACCCGCTCCTAACATGTACAGATATTCCAGAACATCAAAGACTCGAAAGACGAAAACTTCCACTCCCGGGGCCAAAGCTCAGTAAATAATCTCAGGTAGCGTGGCGTCGCCTGCAGACCTTGTCTTACCCCAATCCATACATACTTTCCTAGATATATTCTGACACATACGCACCACAGTGCAGGTTCTGCATCACTAAAACAGCCACCCTGTACCACATGGTATAGGAATTCCCTCACAATCCACCTCTACAACCCAGAGCACAGCACAACACTGTAGGGTGGGAGGCTGCTCTGTCAAGCTCGGATCCAAAGACCCAAGAGGCCCTCGTGAGACGAGCGAGGACAGCAGCCCCTGCCAATGGGATCCCGGACTAAAGAACCCCCTGACCGACATTCCTTCTTCGGTCGCAAATAAATGTTTTATTCTCGCTCTATGGGTATAGGTGCATTGCTCTAATTCAATCGGATACCACTACAGGCGCACCTCAGATCGACTCACATTGCATGTGGAGATCGTTCTAGATTGTTCGAAGAGGTGGGAGACTGCTATTGGCAGGGGCGAGTTATCCAAGGTTCAAAGCGTTCAATTGAACCGGGCCCTTCGGTTTTAGGGGGTAACCAAGAGTCATAAGAAGTGGCCCACTTCGTTTTTTTTTTTTGTTCAAAAAGTTTTAACCTTCCTGATGAATTTCTCTGATAGAAAGAGATTATATATCTCAAGAATCAATATTCATGCTTCTAAAAGGTTGTTCGTTGCATAATGTGCATTATCTTAAAGTCAGCTTACAGTTATGCAGTTTGTGGTAAAAATAAGGAGACCCCAAAACCTTGCTTTTAACAGTTGAACGCGATAACGATGTCCTGTTTTTTAGTGCGTACCTCAAGCACTCTGTGCATAAAACATTTTTCAACTTGCAAAGCAAGCCCCGCCACGGTGGACTAGTGGCTAAAGTACTCGGCTGCTGACCCGGAGGTTGCGGGATCGAATCCCAGCGGCGGCTGCGGCTGCATTTTTGATGGAGGTGAAAATGCTGTAGGCCCATGTGCCAAGATTTGCGTACACGTTAAAGAACCCCAGGTGGTCGAAATCTCGAGGGCATCCACTACGGCGTCTCTCATAATCACATGGTGGTTTTGGGACGTCAAACCCGACATATCAATCAAACAGAACTTGCAATGCACCCACTACGTGGCCTTGTGGGAATAGGTGCAGTAGCGTGTGCGCCTTTTGTAGCGGGTGACCGGCATTACACCATGAAGTAATTATGATTGTCGGGTATTCTGACGCCCACTGGCAATGGGCGCTTGTACCACCCGTAATTGCTGCAAAATTTCGCGTTGTATAGTGGAGCGTGTATGCTGGACGCATGTATTTATAAACAATGAAAGTTACTTCCCCTGCGTTTTCAAGCTGAGGAAGTTATCTTGACTTCATTTAAAGCAGACGCGTGACATTGTGCCTTTAAAATACTGCCCACCTTACGGGTCTTCTGTCTGGGTCACAGTGAAATCTAGTCACTCGAGAGCTCCATGCACGATGCAACACAGTAATTATGATCAAATGAAAAGGTTATCTAAAAAAAGCATGTCAGCGTTTGTCGAGAGAGTGTGAGCAAATGAATGTGTTCCGTCACCATTAGAAAGGGTAGGAGCCCTGCTTACTATGAAGGCATTTTAAGGTGAATTGTGTTTTAGCGGTACTTGACGGCCTTAGTAACTGTTCTGTCAGGTGTTTCGTGTATTCTATTTACCTTGTCATTCCGCGTGTGAAGTTTAACCGGAAATAAAGATAAAAAAGGTGCTTGGCCTTGTGGCAAAACGTCCGCTTGCGATGCAAGCATCCTGGATTTGATCCGGGTGAACCGTGATTTTTTTGTTATTTATTTTACTTGCATTGATCACAATTTTTGGTCACGGATAAGATGATGATTTTTTGCTCACCAAAAACGATGCCGGAGCCGGAATTTCTGGGCAACGTACTCTTAGCGCTATCGCTTTAAAAACCTTTCACTCGCCCAAGACCATGTCTCGTGTATAGAGGGAAGAAGCTGATCGAGCGATTGACGCATAGAGCAGCCTGTCGAGGATTTTAGCAGCTGCAGTCCAACACGCAATGCGAAGGCGCATTGAGAGTGGTTTCTGTTTGAAATATCGTTTAAAGCGCTGAATGAAAATATTCGCTATGCATCTGCACTCTAAAAAATGAGCGAGTAAAAAGGGTGTCTTTTTGTTCGCAACAATAATCGTGACCAATATTGCGTTCCATCCTTGCGCTATTGCCCCGCGCCCGGTACATTCCGGTCACGATCGACATGCCCATTATCAGGGTTACATTGCATTCTCGATAGGAAAGTGGCCAACGCCAAGTTTTTAAGAAAGGAAGCGCACCCAAGCCTGGTGACGATTATTGTTGTGGGACAAAAAGACAGCCTTTTTACTCGATATTTTTTTAGAGTATGACACATATTAAACGCTCCGGAGAGGCTTAGAATAAGTATGGCTTGTGTTCCTTGCAGCTTAATCTAAAAAGCGTAAAGTCTCAAGCATGACCAGACGGCAAAACGGGAAAGAAAGGGGGTGGAACGAGGGGCTTCCCTTACTTTTTTGGACCAGGACCTACGCACTGTCAATCCAGCCATGACTAGGGGTCTCTTTCTCGGAGGGCTTCCAGGGCTTTCTGACTAGGGCCGCTGGAGAAAGAGGAAGCCCTCCGAGAAAGAGACTCTCTTTCTCACAGGGCTCGGAAAGCCGACACAGCGCACACCCGCCGAAAGGACCCGGAAGTGAGAGCCCGCGAAGCCGAGGCTGCAAGGAAGCGCCAAGAAGTCGATCCCGAACTGGGAGCTTGAGAAGCCGAAGCCGTACAGATACGCAGGCAAGCGGGGTCTTTGCAAACTTCCCCCTAACCACCCATCCAAGAACGTGTATTTCTCCACTTCACCAACCATAAAGCCATTATAGTGAATGGGAACGGAAGCCACGTCTAGCCACCATTTACGAACAATAAAATCATTTCGTTGTTTATATTCAATTTTTGTCACGTATTTCATAAGGTACTAGGCAAGTTATGAGAAAATATTCACGGTTTGCTGATAAAGCCTCCGGAGCTTCTCCCACTTACATTCATACACCTCGTGGATATGCTGTGATTTTTTTAAAGTTTTTAGTGGACCAGAGGTTAGTAGTGCGTATAATTTCAGTTCTTTTGCACATACCCATTCACGAATGACGATGCGGCACACAAATTACGGCTAGCTTAGTTATACAGTGTCACTATTAAAATACATCGCTCACAAAGTTTCGTTACTTAAATTTGCTGTTGTGCTTTAAACAGTTGCACAGAAAACATTGAGGGCACTTGACAAGTCTTATATTTCAAGATAACCGCTGGTCATTAGGGATCATGGACGGGATTCCAACAAAAGGCAAGTGGGTGAGAAGGAGACAGAAAGTTGGGTGGGCAGATGGGACTACATAGGAAGTTTGCGGCTATCAAGCGGCAGCAGTATGCACATGACCGAGTTGACTGACGGAACATGTTAGAGACCTTTGTCCTGCAGTGGGCGTAGTCAGGGTGATGATGAATATTATACTTCAAATACCCACAGCAAAGCCTGGCCACAGCGTAGAAGCCAGCGTACCCTCGAAACCATCCCACTCCGGTCGCTCTGGGCTTCCACAGTATGCTCACTTCTGTGTTGTGAGACACTCGTGACACCAACGGTCAGTGCAACAATGACGTTACGGGCAAGCAATGATGCGGCTATTGAACACATTTGGTTAACGTCACCGAAAGTGATGCCGTCGCATGGCTTTCACGATCGCTTTTGAATACGAGATCTGAGCGTCCATGAGAGTGGCTGCGGCTTACAACAGTGCATGATATGCACTGCGTACCATTACTTATCCCCTCTGCAATCTGCTATTGAAAGACTACAGCTGTGCGACTAAAATACACCACCAAGGTTTACCGCAACATAAGAGCGTGTTGTTTTCGCAGCGTCTTTTAATCCCTTTATTTGAGATTGTTGTTCCCGAATTGTGGAGATGGTCCTGTAACTGGTAGCATTCTTTAGTTTGCTCAGAAATTTGTCGATAATTCCAAATAAGCAAGATGAGATGTCTCGAAACTGAAACTGGAAGTTGCTTCGTGCCGCGCCTGCAATGGAGTCATAGAGTACCCTGGCTCACTCTAAGTACAGCCCACATCGTGCTCGGGTGAGAAAGCAGGAGTGCATCCATGTCTAACGGTGGCGTCAGTTAATGTTCAAGGCACCATGAGGGCTAAAATAGAGAACAATTTTTATCCGGCGGACACTGCAGGTGAGTCGCTACTCCGATTTAATTGCACATAGATTTAGGACTGTTCAGCGCAGGTCATTTCTCTTCCGCGGACCGCACCAATCGACCGCAGGCACGACCGTGTTCTCTGTGCGGATGTAAGCGTGGATATTCCTGGTTAGCAGTGGCATAACAAACAGTGGTATATATTCCCATGTCAAGCCAATGTCGCACTCTGTCGCATTCTTTCAATGATGGCTGCATTCTTCCATATTAAGTCCCATCCTTTGTCTGTGTAGTGCACAAGAATGAGACACATCAGGCACGAAAAACGGCATGTGTCCTCAAGCAAAAAGGCCGTTTATTTTCGACTGGGATCTCGCTGAGGTATAAGCCATCGACGTTCTTCTTCTAAAGCGTACACTCTGTAAGACAAAAAAAAATCGTGATTACGCTTTGTGAATATTCAGCACATGCAGTGCGGTGCGTAGAAGGACAAACGTGGGCATGGCAATAGTATTTCACACTGCTAATATTAACTTGTGCAGCTATTTTGTCTTACTAAGCTTGGTTTTATATGTATGCTCGTTACGATTTATGTAAAATGAAACAGTTCTTTACTTAAGTCCAGGTCTATCCTGCCTCCCAAGTGTAGCTTCATCCGCTCTTTGATTGTTGTCTTGATTATTCACGGCAAAATGGGACTATATCGTTGCATCGCGCAGTCCTCAATGTGTTACGTACAAAAGCTGTTCTTTCTATCTACTTTTACTTTACTTATGAGAGCTCATTCAGGTCTACCCTGTTTCCCAAGGGTAGCTTCATCCGCTCTTTGATTGTAGTCTTAATTATTCATGGCAAAATGGGACTATATCGTTGCATCGTGCAGCCCTCCATGTGTTACGTACAAAAGCAGTTCTTTCTGTCTACTTTTGCTTTACTTATGAGAGCTCATTCACGTCTACCCTGCCTCCCAAGAGTAGCTTCATCCGTTCTTTGATTGTAGTCTTGATTATTCATGGCGAAATAGGACTATATTGTTGTACCAGGCAGTCCTCAATGTGTTACGTACAAAATCAGTTCTTTCTATCTACTTTCGCTTTACTTATGAGAGCTCACCCAGGGCGTACAAACCACCGGGGGCTAATTTCCCGGATAATATTAGGACTCGATCCTGCCAACACGAAAAACCAAGCACAATGCCTCCCTACGACTGAATCCGAAAGACATCCGCTTACATCAGTATTCTATATCACGCCACAATTTAGTCCGAAATATTCATTTTGCGAGAAATGTTGCTAGGAAAGGTTTCTGTCTCTGTTGTAATGATCATGTGGCAATGCAATGTTGTGCTCTGCGTCTGACATCCAGCCAAAATATCCACCCCCATAGCCACTTCCCGCGTCGTGTTCGGAACCTGCTTACATTGACTGAAAGCCCCGTAACTGTAGCCTAAGCCTCAACATGTTCATGTCACAGTTCAATCAACTGCGCTATTGCGTTTATTGATAACCGTTTCCTACAGACTCTGCGTCTTGATTAAGTGTTAGGCATCTTCAAAACACGCTGTTATAGGGATTGCTTTGTTGTGAGTGTCACGTACCATAACTTAAAAGAAAGCGGAAACCCTTCGCTACAGCATGAATTTCATTGTAAAGGCGTTCGACTGCTTTGTGACAGCCTACGTGTGTCATTACAACATTTGCTTCGGCGACGAACTTACATCTAACCAAGGTATCCACCACCGTAGCCAGCTCCAGCCTGGTGTCCGAATGACTGTGACCCGAAGCCTCCCTGGTGTCCGGCAGCACCTCCTTGGAAGCCAGATGATCCCTGCTTGTATCCAGAGCCGAAGTTCTTGCTGTCAGAGGCCGAGAAGCCTGAGCTGTGGCTGTAGCCCCTGTTATTGTTGTAAGCGTTCACGTTCCTGTTGGAGGCACCGCCAGCGAATGCTCCTGAGCCCTGGTTGTAACCGCCAGCGCCATGCTGGAATCCAGCCTGGTGGCCACCGGCCGCATTGCCATAGCCAGACTGGAAGCCTCCGCCATATCCGCCGAGGCCAACGCCTCCGAGACCAGCCCCGACAAGACCGGGTCCTCCAACACCAGCACCATAGCCTCCGAGACCAGCGCCCAAGAGGCCACCACGAGCTTCAACCTTCTCGTCCTTTTCAGCGTAAACGCTGCAGACTAGGAGGGCGCAGACAGCGGCGGCGAAGGTCTGTGTTTTGGAACAATGAAAATGTCGTTAATATTTGTGTAACAATTATTGTGCTTACGATTGCACAGTGGTGATCATCTACGCAAATCTTTGTTATGGACAAAAACACTGATCATTCTGAAAAGGCGAATGTTCTTGAAAGGGGGAGGCTGTGTTTCACGTCATGTTGGTGTACCTAACACTCTAACAAAATTGGGGTGTAGTGATATTCGTATATCGGTGCTTTATATGCACTTCCGCTATACGAAATATAAATCATATCGTGCTTTGGAGTGATCATTGTTCATGCCATACCTCAACTCAAGAATCATTAGGCTACACGAAGACAGATTAGAAGGTGAGTTATGTTGAATAAGTCTTAAGCCTATAAAGTACAACATTCTAGATATTCATAGAAACCAAACTTCTACGGCACATTTACCCGGAATTCTACGTAACGACAATTGCACGCTTAAGGCTGCCATGCATGTACAAGATTTCACAGGAGAGAAAAACACCACCTTGCTGAGCTGGGGCACGGGAGTACAGAACTTGACGTCACAGCCTCGGCAGCGCATGAGGAGGGGAAGGGGGGGGGGGGTCATGCATGTTTAGCACAGCCGAGAGAGAGAATTATGGCGGCGCACAGGAAGCCATCTGTGAAAAGGTCTATAGAACGAAAGCTTCGAGGTACGTGTAAGGGCTCGATTCAAGACAACCATGTATGTGTAAAATACAGTAGCCTAGATTATCTAGAGCGTTGTGAGATCTATGCTACTATTTCTTTGTTTTGCGAGCTATGCAGCTTGCCAGCTCTGACCTATAGGTACTACAACTTGCGCTCCTAGGCCACGTCAGGCAAGCGGAAGTAGCCCTGAGCCTTGAACTTGGGATCCCACCCATCAAGCTCATGACCCTTGTCCCAAGCCCTTCTAAATGAAGTTCTTCTGTCTCAGTATCTTGCTCATATCCTGAACACCATCTTAAAAAAAAAACCAGCACAACAAACTCGTGTATATTACTTTCATACTGCGAAATTTGGCACTAACAAAGTGTTGAAGAAAAAGTAAATTACAGAATGGCACCTTAATAAAATTTGGTAAATCAATGTGCAGATGACGTAAGAAAAGCGAATGCTTCACTATAAAGCAATATTAATTGTTACCTAATAGCAATCTCTTTTCCAATAAAACTGTCAAATGCTACTCTAGTAGAAAGGGTCCCAACACATACCTTCATCTTGGAGGTGATGGGTCTTCTGCGATGAACTTGGGAAACGCTGATGCCCGTCAGAGAGTGGCTCTCCTTTTATATATCCGACACAGGGGAAGCAGCTAGTGTTTAAGACTTCAAACAAAAACTAAAACACGAGTGCGCTGGTGTGGAGGAAGTGATGTAATAGCAGTTCTGCGAACCTGCCGTTGCTGTTACCATTCTCAGTTGAAGAAATGAAAGACAATCGCAGGAAGTCTTCGTTATCGGTGAAAGTGAAAAACACTAAACGCGCGGGGAGCAGCTTTCCACGGCAGTTTCATCACTTCCGCTCATCTCTGTCCTCCGGTATCTGGAGTTTGTGCCTCGGAACTTTCCCTCCGTGCTTGCTTGTTTCTCTCTTTTTTTTTTCTTGGGGTAGTGGGGAGGGGGCGTTGTACCGGTGATAGGGAACGTTGGCTCGTCCCACTCTTAGGATATTCGAAGGCATTCGACCGCTGCGCCCATACGAGAGCTTCGTTTGCTCATTTCGGTACGAAGTCCATAGAAAGCACAGTTGACGCTTGCTCTAGCGAAACCAAATTTTAGAATGTCCCCGATACATGAATTTTAATAACTTAATCAGAAGGCCTTGCAACCCTATCGGAAAAAAAAGAATGGTGGGCATGGTGTAAACCACCACCCACCATTATAGTGGATTAATGTAGTGGGTGAATGGTGGGAAACGCCCACCATGGAGCATGGTGGGTATGGTGGGTGCTGCAGTGCCGGCAACACTTGAGCGCGAAATGACGTCAGAATCACCGTGACGAGCTGGCACAAAAAATAAAAAAGAATTCTATAAAAACGGTATAAAAACACCCGTCCCGTGAAAAAAGAAAAAAAAACAAGGCGCCACGCAGGATCGAACGTGCAACCTGCGGATTCCCATTCGAAGACGCTAACCACTGTGCCACACCATTTTTTTTTTCTTTATTGCCTTCTTGACTACAGGTCAAGCTAATATGACAATCACTATCACACGTGTTTCATGTGTGATAACGCGTCAAACAAAGATATTACATCTTCAACACAGTCGGTAGTCTTATACATATCTCGCACTTTTATAACAGCTTCCACGAAACACTCAATGAATAGAACTCTCACAACACAGTGTCTGTACGATAGCATACTACGCCAAACCGATTGAAGACCAAGTAAAAATATAACATCCAAATTTTGCACAGAACTATCACAAGGCAAAAAACGAATTCCGTATGAAGTAAGAGGTAAATCTTTTTTTGAAGTCCTCTGTAAAATGTCCCAAAAGAAAATAGCGTTCTTACAATCAATAAACACATGTTCAATGGTCACAGGTTTGTTACACAGGAGATTGATTGATTGATTGATTGATTGATTGATTGATTGATTGATTGATTTGTGGAGTTTAACGTCCCAAAACCACCATTTGATTATGAGAGACGCCGTAGTGGAGGGCTCCGGAAATTTCGACTACCTGGGGTTCTTTAACGTGCGCCCAACTCTGAGCACACTTGTTACACAGGAGACAGCTGCTTCCCCATGGTACATACATTCCTCTCTCTTCAAGCCACGTTTTTACTGGCAAGGTTCCCGTATGAAGTTTAAAAAAGAAGGTTTTCACATTAGGTGGTATACACATGTTTTTCACTCGCTTTAGTACGTCATGACCATATGATTTTTCGTATTTTGAACGGTACAGGGGCACAGGAAAAACATTCTGTATTATGTCTTTCATAAGGCGCTTTTTTTCACATTAGTTAGGTAATCTATCGAAAACCCCGCCCTTAAGAAACGATATGAGAACACAACTTCGCGCAAGAACGGTGACAATGTGTGTCGTTCTCGCCTGTCTGAAGATACAAAGAAGTCAGGCATGTGGTGTAACAGCGTTGTTTGAAATAAAGAACGTAAAAAAGGGTCTCTCTGGTCTCTAATGAGCAGGAAACGTGATAACATGACGTTGATTGTGTGTTAAATACTTAGTTGGCATACAAACTTACGGTTCAACTTAAGTTATGTTTGTCGTGTACACAACATAGACAAGATCTACACCTGCTACTAAAAATTGCACATTTATTAAACACAAGCAACTGCGGCCTGTAACGATTGCCACTATGTTAATGGCACTAGTGCTATTTTTTTTTTTTTACAATTCACAACTTCAAGAAAAAAAAACCAAGTGGACTGGGGAGCAGCAACAGTTTACCGGCGGGGTCTGCCAAGTTTAATATCCGTTTCGCGATCGTTCTAAAGGGCGACATCTACTCACGCTTTATGACGCTTCTAGGCTCATTCCATCGATACACCCGCCCAATTTATTTGATTGAGTATTGGGATACTTTTTCACGCAATGTAGAGGGCAGTCGTGCCAGCGCAATGCTGTAGCTCTTTCGCTAAAGCAACAACTACATAACGGCTTGGCCAAAACGAATGCAGTGTGCCGGAAACATTACGCTATCATATTGGTTCACCAAGCATACGAATTGCCACGTCTGAGTTCTCGTACAAAAGCTAGAGAAGTTCCGGCGAGTGTGACCGGCGGCTGTCGGTGAGAAGACACTTAATTACGTTCTCTGGGAGTGCTTTAATCGGGTCGCATCGATGTATGTTGCTTTTTGAGCGGACACCATACACAATGAAAAATGCTTCATTTAGGTTAATTGATGCCATGGCTGCGCTGTATTGTCATACTTAATCGTCGAAATCGTGTATTCTGAAACCCGGAAGCACGGATAACACAATTGTCCGGGCTCGGTCGGTAGGCCTAACTTTTGGTGGAAATCATGGTGGTAGAACATGTAGTGTACAGATCCCAGCTTGGTACACTATATAAATTGCCCGCCATTATAAGCCCACCCATCATCTGCTTACTGCCTCCCAGCATTATCGCGATGGTGGGCAGAGCTTCTCAGCTTGGTACACCATGTGGCCCACCATAACAAGCAGCACCTATCATCTGCTTAGTGCTTCCCAGCATTATCGCAATGGTGAGAAGAGTTTCTCAGCTTGGTACACCATGTAGCCCACCATAATAACCACCACCCACCATATGCTTAGAACTTCCCAGCATTATCGCAATGGTGGGCAGAGTGTCCCATTATTGCCCACTATCTAGCCTCTGCTTTCCACCATTATTTCTACTTTACCCATCATCTGTACACCATACCACCCAGTATGTCCCGGTATAACCACCATATTTTCCACTACGTCCCACCATAGCCATCATAATTTCCACCATGCCCACTATTATTTCCACTACGCCCACCATGTTTTCCAGAATCCACCATGGCAATTTTTCCGATAGGGAAGTTAGTAGGACTGGCTAAAGATCCCGCCTAGGTGAAAATCAAAAGTTCTTGACTTCTACCGGCTTCTTCGGCCCGCTGGACAGCTCATAGTTGGTCGTGAAGGGCAGAGATGTGCAACACGGTTTCCCCCTCACGCGCAGAGGCGATCGATAGAGGCTGTGTCTCCAATATTGACCCTTACCCCATAACATTCCCATCGTATGTGCTCCAGAGTCGCTCTCGAATCTGACAACAAAATTTTCATTCCTCAACCAACACCTATGAATGAATGAATAAACTTAAGTCCGGCATTTTCCTTCGGGTGAGGTGGGGTAAGAGGAGATTAACCCCTGTCCCTTCCCGCTCTCATTCGATTAAGATGTAGGTGCCTCAGGTGACCGCTTGAAGTCTTTGGACTTGGGCGGCATTTTCGCCTTGCCGGACGGCCCAAAGATGGTCGGCCAGCTATAGTCACTGGTGAGTGCCACCTACCAGCGGCAGCGACGCTGACGCAGCCGCACCGCAGCAGTGAACGCAGCTGCGGTGGCGGCCGGCCACTGTCCTCGCGCGGTGGTGGCAGTAACAATTCGCCTCGGAGTTTGTCTTTCACTTTCACTTTATTTCCTTAAAGACCTCGAGTGGGGCCATTACATAAGGGGTGGGTGTACAGTAAGGATAGATGATACATCACCATTCAGGATGAGAGGTGCACTTTTACAGCATCAATGAAAGCATCTGGGTTGGTGGTGGCAACGACGGCGTAGGGAAGGCCGTTCTAGTCTACAATGGTGCGTGGGGAAAAAGAAGACGAGTAGGTGAGAGTGCGGGTTTGAGGACGAGCAACACTTAAGCAATGGCCTGTACGAAGGGATATGCGAGCAGGCGGTGAGATGTAAGGTGGCTGATTGAGTGAACTGTAATACATTTAATACTGAGTGAACTGTAATACATTGTAATACTCTGCCCAACATGCGTCGAGAAGTGAGCGGCGGCAGTGACATTAAGTTTTCCGGCACGTTCCCAAAGCATGTGCCGCAGTGTGGCCCTAACACCTATAGATGTCAATTTATTCGTTAACTCGTAAGAATTTTTTTGCCAAACCGGATTTAACGAACTTTGTTCTGAAAACATTGAGAACCTGTAGTTCTCTTCTAATTTTTACAAAGACTGCTTTTTCTTCGAGCATACGCTTTATGCTACTGCGTTAAAAAAATCTGCATGCCATACCTGCCTACGCGTTACGTGCTCGGGCCATGTTTTTCAGGAAATCTTGGATAGGGCCACAAATTGAACTTTCCTGATTTGGAGTGGGACCATTTCACTGCATTTGTTTGAACCCCCACCTTACATTGCCGGTATATACCTTTTCTACGAAAAGTGGGATCCCCTCCTTTCTGGGGTGCTGCTCGGGAGTACGAATGCTTACGTGCATCTTCGGCCCTGCATTTTTTGGAGGGTCACGCGCATATTAACAAAAACACAGAGAGAACTATGGCGGCTCCCAGGCAGCCTTCAGTGAAAGGTCTATAATTTTTGTAATCCCTGTTCTTATACTAAATACTGTGATAAGTTAATAACCACTGGTCATGGAGGCTAACTGACTAGATTCGAAGAAGAGGCTAATGTGTGAAGGGGGGACAGAAAATTAGGTGGTCCCATGAGATTAGGAAGTTCGCGAGTACAAAGTGGCAGCAGCCAGAACAGGGCTGGGTTGATTAACGAAAAATGAGAGAGGCTCTTGCCGTATACAGTGGGCGGAGTCAGGCTAATGATGAATAACACTTTTCCAACTGGCAAATATTTTCGCATCGG